AACGACCACAAACCAACAACAACAACCGTCACCAAAATCATCGACTTTAAAAAGAAATGCCGCAGTAGCCTCGCTACAGCCACCCACCAAAAGAAATGTAGGTGTTTTATTAATTTTTATTTAATTGTGAGAGAGTTTTCCTTTAAAAAAAAAAAGAGAGAAAGAGAGAAAGAGAGCCAGCCAGCCAACCAGCCAATGTGTGTTAATTTGTTAAAGACTTCTCCGTTACTCAGAACGTTCCTGATCATAAATCAATTCCATTTGTTGTCACCACAAAGTGACATTTGTGTGTGTGAGCGTGTGTACCTGTGTATTTGTCTGTGTGTGTGTGTTATCCATTTATTTACCACGTTTATACACTTGTGGTTTGTCTCTATTATTCTCGTGTTTTGTTTCTCATTCATTTGTTAATTCATAATTCAATTTCACTTAGGTTTTCGTAATTTGCTACTCGTGTGTCTCAATTGTGTGGGGAAAGACAACGATTTTCATAATTAACTTAGTTTTGTAGTGCTAAAGAGTATAAACAATTACCACAACTACAACAAAAGTAATTAGAAATTTTAGTTTGTTTAATAACAGAGAAAGCTTAAAAACTTAGCAGAGCATTATCCATTCACTCACCAGCCGCTCCTCTCAGTCACATTGCTCATCTTGTTGTCCTCTCCCTTCGATGGTATTCAACGTCTAGTTTTTGAACTGATTTGAGTGTTGTGGAAAATAATAAAAAATCTGAAATAAGGACTATCGAAGGTATAAAAAAGATATATTGAGGACTTTTAGGGCATACACCCATTTTACACATTTTCAGCTGACCTCTTTGGCAAGTAAACACGATCATTTTGTTCGCTGAACAACGAACAAACTGCTGGACAACGAATGTTTTCTCATCGGAGAAAACCAAATTCGGCAGTTCACCACTTTCGGCCAAGCGAAGCAACTCTTTAGCTCTTTTGAGTCTATTTTCTTTCTGTTGCGGTGTAAGTTCTTGCACTTTTTGGAATTGCAATGGCCTTACCCAGAGGACTTTTAGGGCATATTGAGGTTGCTTTATTGGTAAAAGTCCTTAAGAGGACTTCCGATTTAAGAATACAAATGGAGGTCATTAAAAAATGTTTTGTGCACAGAAGATCGGGTAATATAGCTTAGGCTTCAGAAAACCCATTTTACCTTTAAAAAATCTTTTGAAGATCACATGTTCGCTAAGTACGATCTGAGAACGACCATCGGCTGTTATGGCGGCCCACACCATCACCATGAGCGGCGCTTGAGTTCTGGTGTCTGTTGCACATTTTCAGCTGACCTCTTTGGCAAGTAAACACGATCATTTTGTTCGCTGGACAACGAACGGAACGGAGAAAACCAAATTCGGCAGTTCACCACTTTCGGCCAAGCGAAACAACTCTTTAGCTCTTTTGAGTCCATTTTCTTTCTGTTGCGGTGTAAGTTCTTGCACTTTTTGGAATTTCAATGGCTTTACCCCGAGGACTTTTAGGGCATATTGAGGTTGCTTTATTGGTAAAGGTCCTTAAGAGGACTTCTGATTTAAGGATACAAATGGAGGTCATTCAAAAATGTTTTGTACACAGAAGATCGTATAAAGTAGCTTAGGCTTCAGAAAACCCATTTTACCTTTAAAAAATCTTTTGAAGATCATATATTCGCTTATTATCTGTGGCCTAGTGATCCTATGAAAACACTTATTAAGAACCCCAATAAAAGTCCTTCTATCCTTCTAGTTACTCTTAACATGTAGAAGGTATCAATAGTCTTTAAAATATTTGATGATCTCTACTAAGCCGTAAATCCTTCCGTCCACAACAGGTATTTTAGGGAAAAACGCCCTGAAAATGACTTCTTCTTTTAAGTGGTCCTCTTAAGATAAAATGCCTTGAACCGGGTTTCTAAGCGTAGATGGTCCTTCAAGGGTCTTCCACTGACAGGAGATTTACAAAAACGCTTCCTTCCGCCCATGGCGAAACACCCTTAAAATGACTTCTACAAATAAAGGACGTTTAAGTGGACCTCTAAAGATAAAATATCTCTTTAACAGGGTTTCTAAGCATCCTTCAAGAGCCTTCCACAGGCAGGAGATTTTCAAAAACGCTTCTATTCATAGATGAACTTGTAGAGGCCTTCTAAGGATTTCAGAACCTTAGTGGATCTTCTATAGACAGCAAATCTTTAACATGTCCTTAAAAATATAATATTTTCCTGGGACCTCCCTAACTAGCCTTAATAACTATCCTGGAGTTAGAGAACGATTTCCCCAATTTAAATATGTTTAAATATGTTTTTCACAGTATTTCTATGAGTCTCCAACTGATAAAATACCCTTCACAGGTCACCTTAATATAAAAAAAAACTTTCACAGACCTTCTTTAGATACATGACCTTTAAATGATCTTCCATAGATGCATGTGACTTCAGACTAAAACGTATTTTCCAAAAGTCAAATAACATGTCTTCTATATTTTCTACACGTTCCATCTGTCTCATAACCTGTTCTCCTAAAAAAACCGTCTTATTTCTCTTCAATGGACCTTCTATGTATTTTTGTAGGCAAAAGTCGTTGAAAAGGGCCTCTTCTGAAAATGGACCTCTAAAATAGTTTTAAAATATGAACAACTTCGAAAATAGAAAGGTGTTCTATGAATGGGAGAGCTTTCATGATTTTTACAGATTGGAAAGATTTTACAGATCTACAAAAATAGATGGACTTCCAAGGGTCTCTTATTGATAAGTTTTACTAGATATGAATAAACTTCGACAGATGTCTTATCTTCCCTTAAACATATGGATCCTATGGGTTTCGCAAGTCTTTAAAATATGAAGGGACCTCCAAAGGTCTCCTATTGACAACATCCCCACAGTATGAAAGACCTTCAATAGGTAACCTTTGAAAGATATACCACGAAAAATATGGGTATTCTGTAGACAAAACCACTTTAAGCAATCTTCTGTGGACAGAACATTCATTAACAGATCTTTTGTATATGGAGGACATTAATCGGTAAAAAGTGGGTCTTCCGTAGATTAAGCTGCTTTAAGCGATTTTCTGCGGTTTGAAAGTCATTAACAAATCTTCTATAGATGAAGAACCTTTATATGTCTCGTTAACAACTAAGGACCTTCAATATTCTGTTTTCAAAACATAAAACACCTTCGAAAAAAAGAAAATCGTCGAGAAGTGTTTCACAAAAATAGACCACCATTGATACTTTCCCCATTTATGAAAAAATTGCAAAAATCTTGCACGGACTTTCATTGGAGTCAATACTTAGTGTTTTCGCGGATCCGACAGTTCCATTTGTTCCACGATTTTTAATGGACAGCTGATCTTGTAAAAATTTTCAAAGGAAAAATAAAATGACTTTGTAGACTAAGAAGCTTTGAACGATCTTCCATAGACAGAAAATCAATAATAGACCCCCATATATATCGGAGAGCTCTATATATTTCCCTATATTAGAAAATCTTCTGAATTCTTTCTAAAAATAAAAGATCTTGAACACATCTTTTGTGGATCTTAAAATCTTTTTTTTTTCGCAGAGGTGTGTATAAAAAAGACCTCTATAGGTTAATAACCTCCAAACTATTTTCAAAAGATAAAACTCTTTCAAAGATAATGGGTCTTCAAAAGTAATTTCAGAAATAGAAGACCATGAATACTTCCTCCTTTTTGTACAAATCATCTAGGGATAGAATGACTTTTGTTGGTCCTTATTAAATGGTTTCACAGAATTGCTAATTCCAGCAGTTCCAAAAATCTTTACTGGACAAATATTGTTTTAAAATCTTTTATAGATAAAGATGAGTCTTTTGTAGAATAAACGGCTTCAAGACAATCCTTTAAGCGTCTTCTATAGATGGAGGGCCGATATTTGGGCCCTTAAGTTAGAAATCCTTCTGAAGACCTTCTACCGATAAAGTACCTTGTCTTTTATAGATCATAAAAACGAGTTTTGTAGACAGAAGACCCTAACTATTTTCTTTAGACAAAATGCCTTTTATGGTTCTTGACTATATAGATGACCTCCAGAAGATCTTTGAAAGTCCTTTTATCGATTATAAAGATAATATCTTCCATATATGTTCGAGTCAAAGAAGTCCTTCAAAAGGTCCTATATAGGTAGAAATCCTTCTTCTACTGTGCTATAAATTAAAGTCCTTATACAGGGAATCGTTTGTTCTAATATTGGTTAAAAGATGCTGATACTAACCCCTTAAAGCCAGAAGAAATTTAACAGGTCTTCTTCAGAAATAATACCTTCAACAGTACTTCTACTATCAGTGATTTCACATGGGTCGTATTATCAAAAATATATCCGCAGGTCTTCTTGAAATACCCTCATAAATAAAAAATGTTTCTGAGTGCTTGTCCTGGAAAGTCTACTTCCAAAGACAATTATAAAAAAAATTCTGGGCAGAGTTACTTTAGATCGATTGAAGACCTAACGCAGACGCTCTTATATTCATCTTTTATAAATATAAGTATTTTACTAATAGAAGAAAATCACCTCTATAAATAATAGCAAACCCAAAGAATACCGTCTTCTATAGAACAAAACTATGGACTTTGTTGTTAAAAGTAAAAAAATCGAATTTTGCCCCTTTGGTTGCCAACCTAAAGTCGCCTGAAATCGATCAGACTTTAATCAGTTCCTTCAAGGCTATACTTTTTAATGTAGAATCATTATCCCTCCAATTTAGAGAAAATCACAATCAAAAACTTTAGATTTTTTTTGTTACCTCCGAACTCACATAAAAACAACCCACATGACGGTCCAATTCATTGTCCTTGTCCCCATAAAGACCCCCACCCCGCCCAAGTGTCGTTTGTAACTGACATTCTTCATAATAAAAGTCACCAATGATTGTCCGTCCTATCATCACCCCAGCAGATCTCAAAGCACTGAATATTTTATGTGTATTTTCTTTTCGAATTAACCAAATTAAAAAAAAAAAACTTCAAACCAACAACAACAACATTCTTACAGGCCCACATAAATCTTGTTCACATAACAATTGAACCGACCATTCCCCTAAGTTTAACAACAACAACGACATCTCTGAACAAAGCTTGCTCCTCATCATCGTCATTGTCCTTGGCAAATGTTTCATCTGAATGTGTGGCTTCTTCGCTGCCTCCTCCTCCTCCGTCAAGGCCAATATCATCAGCATGCAATGAAGTTAAAACTAAGCCACAGCATGAAGAACAGCAACACCAAGAAAAACAACAACCACAAACAATATTACATACTAGCAATGGTACAACAACACCACCACCACCTCTGCCTCCTCCATCAAATAGAAATTCGGCAAATGTACCATTGTCTTTCCCTCCCATTGATATTGCGGCCGGAACTTCTCCAACTAAAACTTATATCACCACTGTTGAACATTTCATTACCGCTAACGAAGATGAAAAATATAACCCAGAAATTAAGGTAAACGAAAAGTCCACCAGATATAAACCATCAGAGTCCGTCAAATTAAAAATCGACCCTTTGCACGGATTTCCAAGAGAATTATTGGCAGCTGCACAATCCATTCTGCACTTGTTTATGTACTCCTTTTTGTTTGTTTGGGAAAAATTAAGGGATAGGATTTCATAAAATATTTGGATTTGATTGTCATAAAATACCACAAGTCTCTAATAGCACCATCGCGATTCGATAAGTGGATTTCGGATGTCCTTTGTCTGAAAACTTTTATATTTCTAGGCATACAAGATATCTTATAGGTAGAAGCCTTCCTGTAGTCTTTTAGATGTTTATTCGCATATATTTGTAGGATACCTTTCACAGACCTTAATAAAAAAACTGCCTAATACCTCTTCTATATGGAGTATCTCCAGAGGTCTTTAAAATTTCCACAAGTTTTCTACACAAAAAAATGTTTTCTATGGATAGATGAGCTTCTTATGTCTAAAATAGACCAAGGACCTTTACCTTGTCTTCTTTAGAAAAATGTCCCCCACAAGACATCTATAGATAGTAAACATTTCTAATGGGTCTTCTATTGGTAGATGACCTGTAAAGGTCTTATATAAATAAGGGACTTAGATCTTCTGTAGACAGAAAAGGCCTTTGTTGGACCAGGCTTTGACGTTATCTGCTGGGAAGATGCCTTTTATAGGTTTTCCGTATTTTGATGTTCTTCCTCAAGCCTTCTTCCCATAGCATTCCCAGGTCCATTATTGATAAAAACATGATTTGGAGTGTTTCGAAAGTCCAAAATCTTCCACATTTTGAAATTTTTATAACAAGCCTTCTTTTGCCAGACCACCGCAAAAAAACTTCTCAACAAGCCGTTTTCTTGCCACACCACGGGTCGTCTATCGTTAAAATGCATAGTGAAAGCGAAAATCGATTTCAGACTTTTTATTTTGTATCCTTTACAAAACACTCGACTTTTATTTTCGAACGTAAAGTCGATCAAAATCGATTTATTTTGAGCGCAATTTGTGAAAAGCTTATTGCTGCATATTTTTGGGCTCATATGATGATCCTCCAAAAATTTTATGGTTGATTTAAGAACCCCGATTTTTAAAACAATAAATATTTCTTTTCAACAAATTCCGAAAATACCGTTTAAATGATGACCTACGGGGGCTATACGAAGACGTAGACTTGCATAAGTAATTTTTTGTCATAGGAATTCGTACTACAGAATTCCGAGCTTCAAATACGAAATTTGACGCAATTCCGGTGAATAATGTCTCGAAAATCCTGGAAATACCGAATATCTCGGGGTAGCGTTATATGGGTGCTATATTAAAACGTGGACCTATACAGACAATTCTCTTCCAGGGCGTAAAGTACTCAGAGCGAACTTCTTGTGTTGATGTTCAGACTATTCCATTAAAAAATGTTGCTAAAATCATCAAAATACCGAATATTGGGAGGTAAAGTTATATGGGGGATATACGATATCGTGTACCTATATAGACAATTCTTTTTCAGGGGGTAAAGTAGTCACGAAGAACTTCTTGTATAGAATATCAGACAATTTCATTGAAAAATGTGGCTAAAATCATCAAAATACCGAATATCGGGGGTTCCGTTATATGGGGACTATACGATATCGTGGACCGATATAGCCCATCTTCAAACTAGACGTGCCTGCAGACAAAAGACAGATCTGTGTAAAATTTTAGCTTCCTATCTTTATTCGTTTTGACTCCAGCGTGATTAAAACAAACGGATAGACGGACGGACAGGGCTAAATCGTCTTAGAATTGTACACTTATCAAGAATAAATTTACTTCGTTGGATCCAAAGTTATTATTTCGATGAGTTACTAACGGATTGATGAACTTAATATACCCTCCATACTATTTATGGTAGAGGGTACAAAAATTGACTTTTCGATGTTACCCAATCATCTAAAAATCTTTTTTCGACTTTTATTTCTGATCTAAGGTCGATTTCGATCTTGGCAACTGATGATACGAAAAAATAGTCGACTTTTGGTTTTATCGTTTTTAGTATTCAACGGAAAACCTGACTTTTCCATCTTTCAATAATCGATCTTCGACTTTTACCGCCCCCTGAAATCTGATTTCAATTTTATTTTATTATTATTTATTTATTTAATTTTTTTTGCTTGTAATTTTACCACCGATTTCTAGACATTTTAGCGGCTTCTTATTTTGTTTTAAAGAATACAAATTATGAAACGTAAATCGTTGCATATTTTTCGGCTTGTATGAAAAAATCGAATCAATTTTGCAAATTTTCACAAAATACGAAAGTTTTCTTCATCTTTCAAAATTTCCAATTCAAAGTCTATTTCCAAAAGTCGATTAATCAAAACTCGTCTTACATATCCCTAGTCAGAAGGCAAGAGAAGACTCTACTTTTATTCTTTTATAGGCAGAAAATCGACCCGAAAAAGTCCTTTCACAGACCTTCTACAAATAAAAATGATTTTAGGTATTATTATCTGATGTGATATCTTTAAATAGGTTGCCAAAAATTCGTTGAATGGAGATAAAGAAGTCTCCTGTAGACTTCGTTATGTCTTTTATAGACCGCCCACAATGTCTGCATGCATGGAATACAGTTTGCAGGTCTGGCAGTATATAATATCTTCCAAAAAAATTCTTAGATAGTACACTGATCAAAGTATTGAAATCAATTTGAAGGATTTTTTTTATTTTACTATTTTTTATATGAAATACTACTTTCGATTTTAGTTTTTTTTTTGTTTTCTTTGAAGTCTTGAAATAACATAATTTTCAAATTTCTTAATATTAATTTAGTTAAAATTTGGTTTTTATGATTTTGGAATATTATTCTCAACTAGAAATGTGAAATTTTTAGCAATATTGCATTATAGGGTTGGTCTGTAGAGGCTTTATGTACATTCCCTTTAAAACAAAAATTTACAAAAATCTATTCTAACCTCACTTAAAATTATCTTCCTCAAATAGAAAAATCTCAATAATTAGCAAATGACAAACACTATTTTAAGTTCGTTTTGAGTTTTAATTTGAAACTGCAAACATTTTTGTATATTTTTTTAATACAGCACACTTTTCAGACCTTTTTACACAGCAACCAAAAACATACACCTGTAATGTCTTTTGAGTTTTGCAATTGGATGGATGAATGTTTGACAATTGTAGAATAACAAGCACACCCTTGAAATAAAACAACAACAACACTAAACCCTTTCTTTTCTAATCCAAAAAAAATATTTTCTCATTCACTTTATTATTCAAACAATTAATAACTCTTTTTTTTTTAAAAAAAACTTCCTACCTTTTAGGTTATACCCCAGTTTAGTAATGTTTCGATTAGCAACAACAACAATAATATACAACAACAGCAACAACATTCTTCAGAACCATCACCAATAATACAAGAGCCTCAAACACCCATTGTTTATGGTGGCCATTTGTCGGCCAGCGAGGCCAATGCACCACATTTCCCACAACCTGCTCAACGTCAACAAAACTATCAGCCGCCTTCGCAGCAGCAACAGCCCCAATCTTCGGCCGTTGGCCAGCAGCAGCCGATTTATCAAAATCAATTTGAACTACAAAATGCTGCAGCCGCCGCTGCAGCTCAAGCCAATTCAAGGCGTAATGTGGCCCGTGGCCTCCAATATCGTGACTCGGCCTATGAATCACGCCGTCAATCACAAAATATCACTGCACCACCTGGCATTTTGTCAATGGACAACTTCCGCATGTTGAGCGTCCTGGGTCGTGGCCACTTCGGCAAAGTCATACTCTGTCAGTTGCGTACCAATAACCAGTACTATGCTATCAAAGCTTTAAAGAAGGGCGATATCATTGCCCGCGACGAGGTGGAATCATTGCTCAGTGAGAAACGCATCTTTGAGGTGGCCAATGCTATGCGTCATCCGTTTTTGGTTAATCTATATGCCTGTTTCCAAACGGAGGTAAGTTGAGGATGATTGTTACATTTTAAAATATTTACTAATTGATTTTGTTTTCTTTTTCATCCTGCAGCAACATGTTTGTTTTGTCATGGAATATGCCGCTGGTGGCGATCTAATGATGCACATCCACACCGATGTTTTCTCCGAACCTCGTGCCGTTTTCTATGCGGCCTGTGTGGTATTGGGTCTACAGTATTTGCATGAAAATAAAATCATATATCGTGATTTGAAATTGGATAATTTACTATTGGATACGGAGGGTAAGTGATGTATTTATGCACCGAGTTATCCTTAAATACTCGGATCAAAAACGGAAGAAATTTATTTATTTATGAAATTCCGAAGACAGAATTGGTTAATTTTTTATTTAATCATTTGGTCATGTTTTCAAGGACTGCAAGAAATATAAATCCAAAAATATCAAAAAATTTGGAAGAGGGAAACATTTGGCCCTCTTTATTTGAATAACTTTGAGATATAAGCATTCAAAATTCCGTCTTCTTTTAAAGCTCTGCTTTCATAACCAATTCTTTTAATTTTTTTCTGTGTTACACAGTGCAATTTGCTGCAGATTTTGATTTAAACTTTTTTCTAATACTCTCCCCATCTCTCTTCCCTATTTAGGTTATGTAAAAATTGCCGATTTCGGTTTGTGCAAAGAAGGCATGGGCTTTGGCGATCGCACTGGCACATTCTGTGGTACACCCGAATTCTTGGCACCTGAAGTATTAACCGAGACGTCATACACACGTGCCGTCGACTGGTGGGGCTTGGGTGTATTGATATTTGAAATGTTGGTGGGAGAGGTAAGTTGGAATAGTTTTGTTTTTAAATTTTATTTTTTCTTTAATATTTAATTTTTTTTTACTTCAGTCACCCTTCCCTGGCGACGATGAGGAGGAAGTTTTCGATTCAATTGTCAATGATGAAGTGCGCTATCCACGATTCTTATCATTGGAAGCCATTGCTATTATGCGAAGGGTAAGTTTAGAGCAAAGTTTGAGAATTCCCCTTTATGAATTGAGCGAATTCAAAAATTAACGAATTACAAAAACCTTACGAAACTTATCTGGGACATGGGGATGAAATTTATTGATTAATCGCATAAAAACCCCGATCTCTTCACAGTATGCAAAGATAGAATTACTAGGGGCGAAACACATCAATAATCCTTGTTTGGAATTGCACAAACAATCTTTGTCGTAGGCCATTACAACATTCAAATACGAAATTTGAAACAATTCCGGTGAATAGTGTCGCACAATAATAAAAATAGCGAATATAGCTTGTAGTTGCTATGCGAAGAAATGGACTTGCATAAATAATTTTCTGTCACAGGTTGTACTACCCATTAAGATCTCCACATTCGAAATTTGAAACAATTCCGGTGAATACCGAATATAGGGAGGTACCATTATATGGGACCTATAGGAAGACGTGGACCCGCAAAAGGCAATTTTCAATGACAGGCTGTAGTATCCATTAGGAACTTTAAATACGAAATTTGAAACAATTCCGAAGGATAATGTCGCCAAAATCATTAAAATAGCGAATATAGGGAGGTACCGTTATAGGAGACCAATACGAATACGTAGACCTGCATAGCCAATTTTCTGTCACAGGTTGTAGTACCCGTTAGCAACTTCAACTGCGAAATTTGAAACAATTCCTTTGGATAATGTCGCCAAAACCATCAAAATAGCGAATATGGGGAGGTATCGTTATATGGGGGCTAAACGAAGACCTCGACCTGCTTAGCCAATTTTCTGTCTCAGGTTGTAGTACCCGTTAGCAACTTCAACTGCGAAATTTGAAACAATTCCTTTGGATAATGTCGCCAATATCATCAAAATAGCTAATATGGGAAGGAACCGTTACATTGGGTTATACGAAGACCTGCATAGGCAATTTTCTGTCACAGGCTTTAGTATACATTACGAACTTTTATTATGAAATTTGAAACAATTTCGGTGAACAATGTCCCGCATCAAAATACCGAATATAGGGAGGTACAGTCATATGGGGGCTATACGATATCGTGGACTTATATTGCCAATTTTCAATACCAAAAGTCCTGCAGACCAAACATACATTTAAGTAAAATTTTATCAACCTACTCCAATTCGTTAGGGGGCTAGAGTGATTTCCACAGACGAACGGACATCTCTAAGTCCCCATCAAATTTTATGATGATCAAGAATATATATACTTTGTGGGTTTAAAATTTATATTTCGCGGTGCTACAAACGGAATGACAAACTTAATATATCCTTTATACTATGGTGGAGGGTATAACAAAAGTACGCTTTACTTTTCAGTCAATTTGACTGGAAATTTCTTTTTAAAGAACGGGGCAATTTTAGATTTTTACCTTTGGTAACATTTCCTTTGATAGCATTTATCATTAAATGAACCAAGTCCTGACAGGAAATCTTCCTAAAAATTGTTTGATTTTTCAAGATCTTATTCGGAACACTTAATATTTGTCCCCAAATTCAAATTTATTTTTACCAAAAATGCAACCCCTTGACATGGTGGTTTCAACAAGACGATGGTACCACATGCCACAGGGCAAGCGTAACAATGGACACATTGACAGGCGATTTCTATGAACGTTTTTCTTCGTGTTCGTTGCCAGCAAGATCAGACGCCTTTGGACTATTGAAGCATTTGAAGAAAACATTGTAGCATTTATACCTGAGATACCGGACGAAATGTTGAAAATAGTTGACCAAAATTGGACAAAATTTCCCTGAAAATTCCCTGAAATTATCTTCAAACATTAAATTATACCGTGCGTCCTAGTAATTCAAATTAATACTTCGTGCATTTTTTTTTTAATTTTTATGTTATTTTTAAACACGACAACAATCCTAGTTTTCGAATTCAATGCCACGTACTTCTATTTGCTCTGTTATTCCACCAGAATATGAAACAAAATTAAGTTACCCTATCCTTTCCAGTCAATTTGACACCAAATTTACATTTCAAATTTTCGTTGAGTAAAGAAACTCGTTAAAGAACGAAACAATATTCGGTCCAAGTTTAGACTTTTAACTTTGGTAAAATTTCCTTTTATAAATTTGAGCATTAAATGGGCTATGGGTTCACAGGAAATCTTCCTTTTTTTTTAAAATTCAGAATATAAGTAGGCTATGTAGCTCCTAAAATTACCATATTTTAGGTATTTGTAGGTACAATTTAAAATAGATTTGACTTAAATATTAAAGAGTTTCTATTCCAAAATGATTTTTTTTATTTTTTTTTTTTTTTGCCAATCATTTAAATTACAACATTAAAACTTTATATTTTATATTTAAAATTTACTAATATTTATATTTTGTATTAATTTTTTATAGCTCCTACGTAAAAATCCTGAACGACGTTTGGGTTCATCGGAACGTGATGCTGAAGATGTGAAACGGCAGGCATTCTTCCGTTCAATAGTTTGGGATGATTTGTTATTACGCCGAGTCAGGCCACCATTTGTGCCTACAATTGTAAGTTATTGTCCCATCCTTTCTCCCCATTGAACCAAATTAAATAACTTTTAATTTTCTTTTTTTCTCTTTTACAGACCCACTTGGAAGATGTATCCAATTTCGACGAAGAATTCACTTCGGAAAGACCACAATTGACACCACCAAAGGAACCACGTGTTTTGACTGATGAAGAGCAAATGTTCTTCCAAGATTTCACATACACTGCAGATTGGTCTTAATAAAGTTAACATGAAATGGAAAAAAAGGACCAACCAACCAACCACTAACACCAAGGACATTACCACCAGAACCATCATTAACAGAACATCAATAATAACAACAATTATTAAAAAAAGGAAACATTTCTTTACGAAAAGTTTTCTTTGGGTTATATGCTATTAAGCCACCCTCCGTTCAATTACGGCGGTTGTACATTTCTTTTATTTTATTTTTTTTTCGTATAATTTATAAAGTTGTTAATTACTAAAAGACCTTCAAAGTTCGGAGTTTATCCTTATTATCCACACAAAATTGTAAGTGTTTCATTTCTTTATTAGTTTTTTAACCAATCTTGGCGATAATCATGTATTCTTTTTTATAATTTTTTAGCATCCTTTCTTTTAAATTTTATTATTTTTTTGCTTCTTTTGAGCATAAAAAACTTGTTTTTTAGTTAGAAAAGAAAACAAATTAAAGAAAAAAAACCTCTAAACTTAGTAACAAAAGAGAAAAACAAAAGCATGTTGCCTTTTAAAATTATTCGGATTAAAGTAAAAACAAATAAGTTAAAACTACAATAACTTTGAATGATAAAATTGAAAATATAAATTAAAATACATAACAAGCTCTCACATTATAACAAATTGAAGAAGAGTATAAATTATTTATATAATATATAGTTAAAACTAAACTAAAAAAGATAACAATTTATTATTTGTGAAAAGAAGATGAAGAAGAAAGAACCTTAAATAAGAGGGGGAACGTTAACGAATTCAAAAAAATATTAAAAAAAATGAATTCATGAAACTTGAAAAAAAGCCCATTTGAAATACATTATGCGTTAAAAAAAATAAATAAAAACTAAACAATAACAATTTTAAATTAAAATAAGCATTTAAAGATTATAGTAACTAGAGTATAACTAAACCCAACAACCACAACAACAATTATATACATTTATAGAAACCCTGAAAATGGAAAACAATTCTATGCGTTTGCAAGCAAAACAAACATATTTGTAAAAAAACAACATAATTTTAAAGATATATCTTACATAAGTCATAATTCTACTAACTCTGCTGTAAATCATCATCAACTAACCTCAACTGCTCCTACCTTCCCCCTCCCCCAGGATATGATGCCCCATTCATTTCATCAACTTAGTCACTTTCACTCGCACCTCTGTAGATAATAACAAAAAGTGATCCCTCCGCCCCCCAAAACAGAAAAAAACATCAAGTTGGCAGCCATGTCCAACCTGCCCTCTCCATCCATCCATCCATTTTGTCTGTTTGCCTCCCACCCCAAAACGTTAACTATTTGCTCATCAGTTTCTCAAACATAGTCCTATTTTGTTTTCATACCCTTATTTATATATACATATTATAACTATATTCTACATTATTTTTATTAGAAAATTTCATTTTGTTTTTAACGCAAAAAAAAGTCAAAACTTTTAATTCAATTTATATTTTTTGTATCATTATTATTTTTCTGAATATGTGTCTAAACACATTTAAAAAAACACATTCGGTTTCTTTATTTTCCCTTAATTTTATTCTTTATTTAGTTATTTACTTTATCTATTTTTTTTTTGCTTTGTTCCCTTCAGCATTAATTATTATTTTTAATTTAATTTTATTATTATCATTATTATTAAAATTATTATTTTTTGTGTATTAAGAGAAAAAACAAAAAACAGAACAGAAAACAACAATGTGTTAAGGTTTTTATTTTTATTTAATCATTTACACATGTAATAAGTAATGTTGACACTATAAATAAAATAATCATTATTTAAAATTTGTCGGGTGTTTTTTTTTTACATTTTGATCTTATAAACGATTTACCTTCAATTTGGCAATTTGTGTAGAAGTCATCTGTAAAGAAAATTTACCATATTGAGTCCATCTTTACCCAGAAATAAAAAAATATATAATTTCTGGGGACCAACAGAGAAAATATGAAATTTCCGATATATATTATGCTAAATATGACAATTAGGTTCCTGCCGTTTAGCTACGGCGGTTTTTTTTATTATTTAATCTATAACACGCATTTCAGACAATTTATTCACATCCAATAACTAATTATGGATTTTCAAAGATGTACAGAGATGGATGTTAAGTATATTTTCCAAATTCTTAAGGGAGCTATGATTTTAAATTTAATTCAAAAATAATTGTTAAAGCTCTATCACTGCAAATACTAAAAGAGTGTTCGGCAATAGTAAAATTTGATCGTTTTCGAACTAATTTTAGCCCCATTCTACAACGAGCTCAAAAATAGAATTTTGCTGCATTTGTTTTTCTTTTTTCACTACCACAGGTGCTCTCGCTCGACTTTGAGCGAATTTCACTCGAATATGTGTGAGAGAGGTCTAATCAAAAATGGCAATTTCGAAAATTTGTGTGGCAATAGCCAGAAAGTCTTTCAAATATTTTTCAAAAATCCATCATTAGAAATCATAGAGTCCTCTAGAGATGTTTCTAAAAGTCCACATTTAGAGGTCTTAGAGTACTTTTTTTAAATCCACAATTTTTTTAAATTAAACTGATGATCCAAAAAAATTAAAATCCACGCTTAGTGTTCGGGGCCCTAAAACTTTTCTTATACAATCCACTATGTCCTGAAAGAGCTCTAAAATATTAAAAAAAATCATAAAGACCCTTCAAAATATTTAAAAATATCCGTATTACGAGTCATGAAAGTCCTTGAACAGCATTTTTTCAATCATGGTTTGGACTCATGAAAATCCTTAAAAATATTTAAATAATGATCATATTTCTTTTTTAATCCACTTTGAATATTCTGAAAAACTATGTTCCTGAAGGACCTTGGAAATATTTTAAAAAATATCCAAGAACGACCTTAACAAAATATCTCAAATACCACTTTTAAAGTCTTTAAAAAAAACATGAGAGTCTCCAGGCGCTTGGAAATATTTTTAAAAAATCCAGTTAAAAAGGGCAAAAAAAACTAAAAAAAATATATAATTTAAATAACAAGTTCTTAAATGCCTTAAAAAATCAAATAATTTTTGTTTAGACCTTCAAAATATGTTTTTGAAAAATCCAGGTTTAGAGATCCATAAAATATTCAGAAAATACTCTAATGTGACGAGAACTAAGAGATTAGTTGCTGAGACAGTATTGGATGTATACATGTTATAGAACACTAAATTCACATTGAATAAGATTCTATCCTTGCTAAAATGAAAAAGAAGATTTAAAATAATATTCTAAAAAATGTCTTTTTTTTCTTTTACTTTGATTTTTTATCGGTGATAATTTTAGAATTTTAATTTTACAATTGATTTACTATTATTTTTTATTTTATTTATTTTTTTTTTTTTAATTTTTATTTCTCAAATTTCATACATATTCTTAGTTTCAGTGCCTTGATCCCTTAACTCCCAAAACATGAAAAAACCTTAAAAAATTGACCCAAACGAAAACTATATGACACCAACAAACATTTTTATGAAACCAATAAAAGGACCCCTCAACGAAAACAGACAATGTGCCTCAACCAAGTTATAAATGAAATGAAGAAAAATAGTATTCACCCCAAACTGAAAAAAAACTAATAAATACTAAAAATTCCAAATTAAATTTGAATTTAAATATGTATACGAAAAAAAAAATGGACATTAACAAAACAACCAAAAGTATTTTGCCAAATTTAAAATTTGTAGTATGTATTAAAGGAAATTAATTGAAAAAAAAAAAACACGTGTATTCAACTCAGTATACAATTATATATATATATATATATATATATATATTAATTCATATTCTAAATATTATTGAAAAAAAAAAACAAATATTTAAATAATAAAGAATTTTTTGAAAATGTATAAAAGAAGGAATTTTTATTAAATTCGAAACAAAATATTAAATTTCCTTAAAATAAAAAACTAGCAAAAGGAGTCAGCCACTCCCAATACCTTATAAAAAATTAAAAAAAAAAAACAAGTACAATAGTATCAGTCGGTTTTTCCGATAGATTTATACCCCCAGCCTTGAGTTTTGATTATTTAAACTATTGAGCATTTATGGGGGAGGTTCCGAAGCAGTTAGCCAATATTGATCAATTCGTATGTGACCTAAGACTGATTAAAATATAACAAAGTGCCAGATTTGAACTATACCGACTACTTTCTATACTTTATATGAGATATGTGCAAATTTTTGAAAATATGGAAATATGCGTGAGGTACCACATATAGCGGACCAAAGTATTCCAGTTTCATACTTCATCTAATGCATACAAAAAATATTGCTAAGTGCAAAATTTAAAAGAAATCGACCATTTATATCCAATTTTATGCCATATTCCATATTCATATCAGATTTCTGGCTAAGAGAAATATTTAGATGTAGCAAGTTGTAAAGAATCGCTAACTTGTTTCGCAAGTTATGACAGATATAAGTATTGGAAATTGTGACCCTTTGTGGGAGAGGTATCAGAAGTTGTTGGCAGATATATATGATCTTCACAACAGAACTTGGATGTGTGAAGTTTGAAGTTGGATAATTATAACGGTTTCTTTGAGCGTTTTGTTTTTCAAAAATTTTGAACCCTATGTGGGAGAGATACCAGAAGAAATATTCCGATCTCTACCATCTTTATAACAGATCTTGTGTTGATGAAAATATGAAGATGTACCAAGGCTGAATGGCATCGAATGTTAATTTCGCGTTTTATGAAATTCATGGATACTCAAAATTTTGACACTTTGTGGGGGAGGTACCAGAAGAAGTGAACTGATATATCCCATCTTCACATCCGACCTTGGGTTAGTAATAATATTGTGATGTGTGTAATTTGAAGAGATCCGGATGCTTATTTCGGATTTTATGAACGTTTTGGTTATTCAAAACTTTGGCAGTTTGTGGTGGAGGTACCAGAAGAAATGGTCCGATATCTACCATCTTTAAAACAGATCTGGTGTTGACAGAAAGATTGAGATGTACCAAGTCTGAATGGAATCGGATGTTAATTTCGTGGTTTTCGAGCTTCATGCATATTCAAAATTTTGACCCCTTATGGAGGAGGTACCAGAAGGGGTGGACCGATACATTCCATCTTTATACTTGACCTTGGGTTAATAAAAGAATTGTGATATATGTAATTTGAAGTAAACCGGATGCTTATTTCGGATTTTATGATCGTTTTGGTTAATCAAAACTTTGACCCTTTGTGGGGTAGGTACCAGAAGGAGTTGATCGATATATTCCATATTCACAGCAAATCTTATGTTAGCAGTAATAATGGTATGTTTGAAATATGAAAAGAGCCGGATGCTTATATCGGATTTTATAATCGTTTTGGTTAATCAAAACTTTGACCCATTTTAGGGGAGCTACCAGAAGAAATTGTGCGATCTCTACTATGTTTGTAGCAGATCTTGTGTCGATGGAAATATTGAGATGTGCCAAGTCGGAATGGAATCGGATGCTGATTTCGTGTTTTATGGGCCAAATTTTGACCCCTTTGTGTGGGAGGTAACAGAAGGAGTGGACCGATGTATTCTATCTTCACACCCAACCTTGGGTTAGTAAAAATATTGTGATGTGTGTAATTTGAAGATAATTGGATACTTATATCACATTTTATGAGTTACATATATTCTAAATTTGTGGGGGAGATACTTGATGGAGTGGACCGATATTGTCCATTTTCGTACCTGACGTAGAACTAATGGAAATATTAGGATTCGCAAGGTTGGATTATCCTTTTTCTTTCAGTAAATTATTTTCTTTGAAAATGTTGACATTTTGTGTGGGAGGTAGCAGGAGTGGTCCGATATTTCCCATCTCCGAACTCGATCTAAGTTTGTTAATAATATTAAGATGTACCAAGTTTGAATCAAATCAGATACTACCTTCGAGAGTTATCGTGCTCACCAGCCAGCCAGAGAGACAGTCAGACGGATGGACGGCCATCGCTAAATTGACTCCAAATGTCCTGAAACGGATGTGGTCCAAAGAGACCTAGGGTCTAAAATCGTTATTTCCATGAGGCATGTTTTGGCCGTATCAAATATTATATCTCTCTAGCCATATGGCTGTACCCTCAGCATTAAATTGCTTACACATAGAATACATATGTAAAGTGAATTTTCAATGCTAATTTTATGTTGTACATTTTTATAGCATACTTTGAGGAGTTCCTAAGAACACTGCGCAATCTAAGCTTTTAATATATATAATATTAATTTATGTTTTTTATAAATCGTTCCTTTTTAGATATAAAATTTCGGAAGAGCATCTAAAAGTATGCCATAACATTTTTTGAAATAAAATCACTTTACATATGATTCTAACATCATGTGTAATATAGCCTTTAAAAACAACTTTGAAAAGTGCTCTAAAATCTGGGGTTTGATGGCAACTCCCTCCATTTTGCACATTTCGAATTATGCCCCAATGTCTATGAATTTCCCTACATACGTAATAATTTATTTATTTATTTTCTTTGTTTTTTTGTTTTGTTTATATAACACAGTCACCACATGTTCAGCTAATGTCAAAAATAACCAAATATTGTTAAGTAAATTCCTGCTATTTTTATAACAACAAACCACTTTGGTGGGGGGTAATCATCAATTTGTTGTTATGTTTAATATCAGCTAACACCCCCCACAGCCACCCACTGACTCACTAATTCCAAACATGACATTTTTTGTGTTTTTTTTTTTTTTTAACTAAATTTACTTTGCACCAAGTTAATTATTTATGACGCCGATGACGCGTCGTTATGTGCCTGCATGTACTTTGCATCGAACAGTGTTAACA